GACTACACACACCTGTTACACTGACTCCAAAGACAGTTTGACGATTATAGACAAGGTCACATTTACATAACGAAAAATAGGAATATATTACGATCATGATTTTGTAGGAGTAGGAAGTGTTATAATAAGTGATGCTAATTTCCACAACATCACGCATAAGGGACCGTCCATAAATGACGTCACGCACCTAGGGGGGAGGGGGGTCAGACATTGTGACGATGTGTGACGGGGGGGGGTGAAAAATGTGACGTCACATCAAAATGCGCAACTTTAAATAAATATAGACAACACGTTCTACTTAAGTAAATTGACTTTTTGATAAACGGTTTCTCCTACAACATCAGAGTGCAGCGGCACATTAAATACGCACTACAATGACAATAGTTTGAAGCTATTTGAGGCATGTTTTATTTATTTTTGGGGGGGGCAGAGCTTTGTGACGTAATATTTGAGGAGGGGTCTGACTTTTTGTGACGCCGTGTGACGAGGGGGGGGGGGGTGAAAAATCGTCTAAAATCACGTGACGTCATTTATGGACGCCCCCTAAGGAGAAATTACTAAGGATATCGATTGGTTTATCTTCCATGGCAAGAAGAAGAGCCCAGTCATTTGCATACATCTTCCAACAAACATCTTACATGGCACAGGTTTCAGAAGGGTGATCACCGATGCGACTGACTGGTGCTTTCACGATAATCCAATGACCACCCATTCCTTTGCTTACCTTACTAACAGTGTAACAGGCACAAAGTTGTCCCATGAGACTCGGAAGTGAGATTTAGTCTGCAGACGACATTAAATGGATAGCTCATGGCAAAGGGTGACGCAAAATAACTGTTTTGACCACGAGATTTTCACAATATTTCGATTATCACGATATCTGGTTCCCATCACGTCGTAATTGTGCTTCACGTACATCGTGTTGTTATTGTGCTTAGTTGATCAATAAAAGTAATTAAAATGCAATTCCCTCAGTGCAGCCTGTCTTCTCATCGTTGCGACTTTACAAGCTACTCTATAGGGCCGTAAAACGCACAACCTGCAAGTTTCACAATACATACACACATTCATAACTAATTCTGAAATGTTGGCAACATGAACAGCATGCGATCAATTAATGTGTAGAAGGATTTAATGGATAACAGCTATGTACTTAGAGCTTTAATCGGGATATAACGATATATTTTCAGAAACAGACTTAAAGATTATCATGGCATGTATACCATGCGAAACACTGTAGCATCGCCATATCACGGCAACCCCACACTAATTGCTGTACAAATTATGCAAACATCGTATGTACCCCCACAATTGACAAACGCTGGTGTCACCCCGGTATGATTGACATTTTGCAATTTGCTGTGTGTGCACACCAGACGTGGTCTGCTTGGGAAATCCTGTGCTGGGACGTGCAAGCTGTTTGCCCTGGTGTTGAGGGAGAAGCCCACAATCGTTTGCAACAACACATGTCAATATCGAGTGCTGATTCTCCTGAAGGACGTGCGGTTATTAAGTACGAGTCCCTCTGCACGAATGTAAGTCGGTTTTTGAGTAACCTCAGTGCAGTAAACGTGACCCTGCCTTGCTTGTACACTTGACACTTCATAAGGCTAAGCAAATTGTAGTTCCACCTTTCGTATTGGCTTTGAGCCAAGGTTGCAAACCGGAGACGCCAAGGGCAGTAGGCCATGTCAGTCTTAGGGACGCTCTCATCAGATTCCTTGAGCTGCTGATTGGGTATGGGTACAACTATTCCTGCATGCGCTCACTCTGCCTTCTGCCTCCACAAATATCTCAAGTCCCACTGAAATTATTTATTCCACAAACGAGATACAAAGATAGGGTTCGTCTGGAGCCACAGGACAGTAAATCAGCCCTACAGTTTTGGTGCGCTCTACCGTAGGGGCCGTTCATAAATGACGTCACGCACTTCGGGGGGGCGGTCAGACATTTGTGACGATGTGTGACGAGGGGGGGGGGTTGAGAAATGTGACGTCACATCAAGATGCGCAACTTTAAATAAATATAGACAACACGTTCTACTTAATTAAATATACTTTTAATACATGTTTTCTCCTACAACATCAGAGTGTAGCGCCACATTAAATACGCACTACGATGACAATAGTTTAAAGCGATTTGAAGCATGTTTTATTTGGGGGAGGGGCAGAGCTTTGTGCCGTCATTTTTGAGGGGGGGGGGTCTGACTTTTTGTGACGCCGTGTGACGAAGGAGGGGGGTAAAACATCGTACAAAATCGCGTGACGTCATTTATGGACGGCCCCTCATGCAGTACACTCATGACTATGTTATTACATTAAATATAGACATTGTTCTCGTTTATATAAAACTAAGATCTAAGTGAGACAGCATTCATCGTGCAAAACTTCAGTGCTAGAAAAATCATTTTTTTTTTAAAGCAGAGTATATATAAAATGCAATTCAATACAATTCTAAATTAAAAATACACGACAACCATCGGTGTAAACTTCAAAAGATAAGCCTTGAACATTAACACACGGGAACATATCAACGGAAATATAATTAAACAAATCTGATGTACCCTAGTTCATAACTAGTCGTATTCTATTCTTATTTTTGTTTTTGAATTGTATGGGAGTCGTGTGGTATTTATTGCCCTGTGAACTTGAGTTCATGACTTCGCAGGCACGGCTAACAATCAGTGACGATGGGTTGTCTCAGCCAGTCCCTCGCCCCTCGCTTCAACATCCTGCAGCACGCATCCTGCTGACGTGTCTCAAGCAACCTCTGAGGCCACCGGCACAGTGTGCGGGAAGGCATCGCCAGCGAAACGTCGAACTTACTCAAATTGTAAACGTTGTGGATTTACTCTCCAACACACCGGTGGGCTCAAGTAGTAACTACACTATACACTACACTACTATACACTACACTATACACTACACTACTATACACTACACTACACTACACTATACACTACACTCTACAATACACTATACACTACACTATAGACTACACTACTATACACTACACTCTACACTACACTATACACTACACTATACACTACACTGTACTCGTAACTAATTGGCATTTTGTTTATGTGACAAATCCCTTACTAATTGGCTGTGTCGGGTGGTGGAGGGTTACGACACATTTATACTTACGCGATCCCATCCAAAAACCTTTATTATGAATTTTGTTCGCGAAAGCCGGCCACGTGTTAAACTGATATATACAGGAAACATTTCTTAAGCTGCACACAACGCTCTTCTCACACTCATCCCGTCATATTCCCTTATCCCCGCACAAACTCACCACTTGGTCTACCCCATCATGTTCACCTTACCACCGAATCCTCTTCCATTAAGCCCCGAGACATCCTCTTTATTCTCCCTCCCTCCACGCACTCTAAATCACCACCAACTTGTCTTCCTTTAACAACAACAACATCAAAGCCCTCAGTAACTCGCCGTCATCTCACCCCCGCTGCCTTCCACTCCGTCCCTTGAGCCCCACACCAACTATCACAACACAGCCACTCGCCCTGTTTCTGAAGCTTGGCATCGCATGCACTTTGAATCGTGACTTCACGTGATATATCTCAGCCTTTCAGGGCGGGGGGTGCAGCAATCTAGGAAAAACTGCACTGCATGTGGACACTTCTTATCTGATACATTTTAAAAGTGCACTTTGTAATTATCGTTTATGTATAAAGATACATCCAGCGCGGGCTGGATGTATGGGTATGAAGTGTCACTCGAGTGTTCTCACGATGTGTATCGCTCTAGCCAAGCCTCTGCAGACACACACTCGTGATTTCACGTCGGGTGGATGGAAATGAGTGACATTTTAAAACCGAGTTAGCCGAAACGGCAATGATGTGTTTGGCCTACAATGTACTGTACCAGATTTGTGGTGACCGTCATTTTGACAGGCTAATACATACACCACCAACAGTAATAATGCTCTAAAGCACTGTATACGATGTGGACATCGACAGTGGATGGTGTGTTCGTGCAGGTGAGACCAATGCGCAGAAAGGAATATCCAACTATGGACTTGCAGTGCCCTCTGGCGGTAGAGAGACGACGCCGTTCTTCACGACAGGACCGCCGGACTCTTCGTTCCCCCCCCCATCAAGCGCACGACAGAAACGCGATGTCCACACGTCCTGCACCATCATGGCACAAAATAAATGTGCAGGTGACCTGCGTTGTGCCCAGGTACACTCCTAGCAACAGTGGCAGCGACTGGACACGTGCACCATTCTCGAGTGGCTGTGATGACGATGGACACGACGTTCGAGCACAATGATGTCAGTCGTCGGTTGTCTTTGCTGCCGTCTTCAGGAGCCCACCGATGCCACTGCTGCTGTACGCGTGGCAATTTCATGACGACAGTGATGGATGCGGGTGACGACAAGGCGCTTTGCGTCGAGGTTGTCACAATATGAATCCCCCTTCTGACTTTGCCAGATCTGGTGGCAAGGTTGCAGGTGAAGAGGCACAGGGCTGACGAGCAGAGGGGATAGGGTAGAGGGTGATGCTAAACGAGGTAATGGGTTGGGGAGGCAAGAGGGAGCTCAGGCGAACGGGAGGAGAGATGGCACCAAAGGCTACGGTGAGGAGACGAGGGCAGGATGTGTCTACACGTGTCCGTTGAACTCATTTCGCACCGTGCGTAGCCAACTCCGCGCTAATCGGAGGCGCAATGCAGGATAACGACCGACCGGAGACACACAGGCACGAGAGAGGATTACACTTCTCTGTGGAGTGACGGGCAGAATTGGGTTACGAGGTGGCTGGAGCAGGGGGGGAGGCATCAGAGGTTATGAGGAGGGAAAGAAGTTGGGAGGGGAGCCGAAGAGAAGCGGGGGGCAGCGGAGGAGTTGGAACGACCACGGGACTTGAGGAACACAGCAGAGTGGATTTGGCGGAGAACCGGCCCCGTGAGGAGGGTGCGGGATTGGGGTCGGGAACGTCACGCATACAACACGAAACATGGAATACACGCTTCAGTTAAGAGTGCTTCATTTTATTTTGTATTGCTTATTTGAGGGTACAAAATTTTATTGGAGGTGACTAACACTCCTTTCTGATGCAGATACCGCCGCTCTCAAACACCACTCGCAACTCCCCGCTCCAACTTTAGCAACAGGGTTATTAGCTCAACGTGTAATCACAGCGTTATATGGCCACCGATATTCGAGCAAACAACACTTAACACCCTTCTGGCTGTCACGTCCTTCTCCCTTATCTACGCGGTGACTCCCCTAACTCTGCCCTCTATCTCCGCTGACTCTCCACCCTCTCACACTTCCCCCCTCAAACCCCTTCTCCTTGTATCGGCGTTCTTCATCGCAAGGCCCGGGGGCCACTGGCGGCTCCTGACGCGCGGCACCCCGACAAGACTCGAATTGTGACAACACCTCCCATCATCATCATCGTGCTGCTGTCAAAATCCCGATGGTTTCAAATGTGTGGCGGACCTCACACTGCTGCTGATGATGTCTTATCGGCGAAAGTGGCCCCTCCCCCTTCTGAAATCGAGTGAAGAACGCTGCCCTATATCCTCTGCACAGGCTCCACTCTCCTGCTCGAGCATCCTCTCCCGTTCTCCCAGCTGCCCTCACGTTCACCCTTTGCTTAGCACCTGCCCCTGCACTGCCTGATGTCCCTTCCCCCACTCAGCGCACACCCTCAATGGTCCCGACGTCTGAGATAACAGTCACAACAACAAGAGATGGGTGATACAAGTATTGGGGGAGGGGGGGAGGGGTTGCATGCAGATCATTAAAATATTTTATTTTTAATCGCAATTTAAACAGCTGGTCGCCCAAGACAGCACCAGCTTGCCACACCTTCACCGATCTGCTCAGAATACCCGCTAAATTATCTTTGTATTTTTTTACTAAGGCGATCCAGCACTTTGTTTAGGGTAGTGAGGTGGTAGCAAGTCGCTTTGTTATAATAATAATAAAATTCAGGGTGGCGTGTGGGGATGGGACACGACGACCCCTCACCCGTGGGCCGGGACGAGGGTCCCGTGTGTCTGCGGTGCCGGGCAGAATCACCGCCCACACAGACAAGTCTCATGCCAGCAGAACTTGTTTTTATCTAAACACTCGCGACCTGTAACTTGTTAACGCTGTGCGGCAGCCCCAACTCCAAGCTCTCATCGCGAGCACGGCCCTCACGACGACTCGCCCTCGCGGATCCTTCCACACGTTACCCCCCTCCTCAGGCCAGACGTAGGATCAATTGCAGGCCATTACACATTTACAGAATTATTGTTGAACTGTGACAAGTCAATAAATGTTGAATTGATAAAGACATAATTTGGTTCTGCTCTCGCTCGAGGGTTATTTGCTGACTGCCTTGATTAGACCGTAAATGGAAAGGCCCACTAACGCCCCGATGCCACCAGTTGCTACATTTCCCAGTGCTCCAAGTCCAATGACGCCTGCAGAAGGAAACACAAACACATCAGTGACGCGGTGCATGCCATCGCATTTTCTTGAAGTGACTTTGCCTTTCAAAACACAGCATGAATCATACGCTTAGCCATATGTGATGGTAAACGCATGGCAAATAGGTTCGGAAACGAATGTCCTGATTGGGTAGATGGAAGCCTGCCTGTGTATTGAAACCCATGCAGAACAGGGGGAGAACAGACAAACTCCACACAGAAAGGCACCCGAGTCAGGCATCGAGCCCAGGTCCTTGTTGTTGTTAAGGTACACGTGTTACCACTGCGCCAGCCTGCTCCCCAAGTACCGATATATATGTATCTTCTTGGTTCTTTCGGTAAAGTCACGTAAATAGTATAACAGTGTAATGTTTAATTTAATTCATGAGGTAATATCGTAATTGCATAGTGAATATACAGCAGTGTGGTATACAGTAGGGTTGGTAGAATAATACAAAGTGTAATATTACAATTCTAATATTATTATAGTCTATAGTAACGCAGTGTATAATTCAATGTTGGGGTCTGTCTATGGCAGTTTATAATACGGGGTACAGTCGTGTGATGTAAGAAAAAATATTAGATGGAGGCATATTATAATAATTTTTGCGACATTGAAGTGTAATGTATAATAACTTATTGTTAGTTGCTCAGCTTATTGGAGATTATATTGAGTATATTTATGATATTGATGTAGTTTATATTTAATTTTTTTATAGGTTCACTATATGATAGTCATTATATAGTGTATTGTATACCCAGTTACTTAATGTTAAAAGCTCAGCTTATTGGAGAATATACTGAGTACATTGATTATATTGATGTAGTTTATATTTAGTTCTTTCACATCGGTTTATTGTATGATAGTGGGTGGTTGCAGTTCTTTAGCGTCAATATACTAAATGCCTCTGTTGATATGTTAACTCTGACTTTAACATAGCCACTTCCGTGACCAGTGACATGCTAATTCCTCACATTAACATCATGCTAATCTCCCAGTTACATGCTCATTTCTGACTTTCACATCCTGCTAATTCTCTCACATTAACACAGCTTATTCAATGCTAAATTATTCTGTTGATATGTAAACTCCTTTGTCAAGGCGCTCTTCTCCTCCCACCCAGCTTAAAATACGCTGCCAAGCTTAGCAGTGTTTATTGGAGCCTTGTCTTTCAGACAGCTCTGTCTTCACCTGTGGACGGCTGCTTGTGTTGTGGCCGAAACGTCGTGAGAATTGTATTTTATTCAGTTTTATTTTTATTATTTTATTATTTCCCTTCTACGTAACTTTACCGAAAGAACCAAGAAGATGAATCCCTGCAGTCACGAAAGCTTTAAATGGAAATATATATGTACTAGAACCATTTCTCCCAATCATGGCCCCATTAACCAGCAGCTGGAACCTGCGTGCCAAAGGGGTTCCAAACGACATGCTGGAAGAGCCCGAGCGATGCAATGGTGCAGAACACGTTGGTCTCATCTCGAGCCAAACCCACGATGGCAGTGTTTATAGAGTGCGCGTGAACGTACCGATGGACTGCAGAATAGCCACCGTGCTGCCGGCCGCTACACCGCCACCACCAGCGGTTGCAGCCGCGGCCATCATCGACGCTGCGTAGGAGCCCGCTGTTATCCCTGCCGAGGTGAATCCCGCAGCCGAAACCGCGGTGGTGACTCCGGTGACTACAGTCGCTGCGTACCACGCACACACATCACACAGTACGTTCAACACGTAGGCTTTCGCCACTAATGTTATTCGTAAAAAAAGTTTTTTGTTTTTACATTTGTATTTACGCAATCTAACCCAAAAAACCTCGGTTATGGATATTACAGTAATGTCATGCACTTGCAGTATAAAGCTATCCTTGCACCGAGCCCAATTCATGTGTCAGGGTGACAATGCAGGCTCAACTACATTATATTAGAAAAAATTAAAGTCGGAAGAAAAAAACAACAGTTTTGCCATTTGTTCACAAAGCAATTGTGGATTAGATGGATTGTAACGATTTGGGGGTCACACTTATGGTCAATAATTGTGTTTTAATCGTGGTGAATACACAATATTGACCTCAATTATTTGTTTTGTTCAAAGTTCCGTGTATAAAAACGCAAGTGACTATTGTCACTTGGGGATGCCACCAACCCTGCATTTCCCCATGATTAGGACATTATAAGACCTGGTTTTAAGCAGTTGCATTCTAATACACCACTCAAGACTACGCATTTGCATGCAGTTATTTTATTGGGAGATGTCTTCTTCCCATGATCTGTCCCAGTTCTTTGTAGCTCAGAGGTGGACAACCTTGGTACAACTCAAAACACATTCCTGCGAAGGGAGCTGGTAGGAACGTTGGGTGGCTCGGTCAATGGCCAGGGTCAACGGCGGCGTGGTGTATTCCGCAAATATGGCCGACTGTGAGGGCGGGTACAAGCCCCACCCATCCCACCCTCACCCTCCCCACCCAGCCCCTCCCCACCCAGCCCCTCCCCACCCAGCCCCATCCCTCCCATTTTTATATGCACGACGGACGGACACAATAATCCCCTGTGGGCTGGTGGAACCAAGAGGTTCCTACCAGTAACAGTTGTATACTCAGTAAATAATGTACAGTATATACCAAAAAGAAAATTTAAGTATTATTGTTATTCGAGATACTAACATAAATTTGATAAGAATATATGCATTAGACTTATACCTTTTAGGTTGTTGTGAATATCGATTGGTACTTTCTTTCTGTTTTATGGGAAACCCCCTTTTCTGATATAATGACAAGTCAGCCCGTTCACCCGACTTAGCAGTTAGCACCATTAGATGTTCATCTCTGGGGTTACAAAAAAGTAAAGTCTACATGCACTAGCAGACCAAGGGTACCTTGAAGAACTTAAACATCGTGTTGTTGGTGCTGTGTCATCATCCATCCCTACAGCTGTGTTGGAAAACTTTTCTCAGAGTTTGAACCCCGAATTAGATTGAGCATCGTGAAAGATTGATTCGAGTGAATGATGGACGACATGTAGAAGTTTATTCATAATTCGAGAATATATAATAAATACCATTAAAATGTTAAATACATTTACAATTATAAATCAATGCTATGTATTCACGTGAAATGTATGTCAGTATCTAAAATACAAATAAAAGTAATCAACGTTATTTTTGGTCGACTCACCTGCGCCTGTCGCAGCAGCCGCAACTCCTGTTTTGATGCCGGCTGTGAACAACGACAATTATAGATGTTACAAGAGCAACCAACACAAATGCGAAGCTAATTTATTATTTTCATGTTGGTATAAAGAGCGCTGCGCGAACTCTATTACAGAGGCGACGGAGTGTGTCCCCAGCGCGTGGCATTGAATGGGCGTCGCTCATCGCTCTTGGATGTCCTGAGGCAATGGTCAGAAGTCCATATTTCTATGGCAAGAACCAGTGCGGCTGCCTTCAAAGTATGAGGTTGAAATATTCCGCTTGCGAATTCTCCAAAAGTAATGATCATGTTTGCGCAAATGCCCCGCTCTATATCTCGCACAAGGTTGGTCAGACGAAAAAAAAACAACAACATTGTGTCTCTTGGCGAGGACATTCCTGCGAAATTGTCGCCTTCACCAATTAAAACTTCTAAAAGTAACGTCCGAAAATAAGGTCGAAGACAACGCAACGGGAGTCTTTGTTGGTAGAATCGTCCGCAAAATGGGTTGCCCGTTGTTTTATATTCAAATCGGGTGCTCCTGTTCTTGCGTATTCGTGTGTATGGCAATACAGGAGCTGTTTGCTAATGTCAAAGTCTGTTAGCCACGTGAGAGCTTCAGGCGAAGAGTTTGCGGCGTTTGTCAAATTCCTCCGTTGAAGGAGAGCAGATAATGGTTTACTATATGGCCCTCCATATGTTGGCTTACATGGCCACAATCGCACTGTGGCTTGCCTTTAATTTTTAATTCATGAAGGTTTGTGCATTGGCCTGTTGATGTTTTAATGCTGTTGATGGGACACCAGCGGCTTCAAGCAAGGAATATCAAAGGCAGGAGGCTTTTGGACATTTCAGATACCACGATTTATCCAGTGACTGGGGAATGGAGATAATATTTGGGCGCAGGCCCGGGCGTACATTAAGGTGGTATCAGCCGAATAATGAGTGTTTACATGCGGGGGGGGGGGGGGGGGGACCAAATCGCCTGGGAAAAGATACACGTGCGAGGGCAAAACACTATCCCGTACACATAGAAGTGGTGGAGTCCACATTTTTAATGGCCGCCTTCTCGTGGCAAGCCAGGGCGTGGCACGTCCTCGACGCCCACGGGAAGGGGCTTTCACAATCTTCGTGTGATCTGTCTTCCACAGTGCTGGATTGTGGGCGTGCATAGCCACCACCGTCCGGCTAATGCACGCCAAGGCTGCATTAAACAATTTCTAAAGTCTCTATTGTTTCATGCAGCGCATAAACATTGAAAATGTCATGTCAAAATGATAGTTGCATACAGTTACATATCCTGCGCATAGGTACATATACGCCGAACAACACACCGGTTAGTGCTGTACTAGTGACGAATTGGCACGTTCTGTTTATGTGACAACCTTTACGTATTGGTTGTGTCGGGTGGTGGCGGGTTTTAACGACACATTTATATATTTACACGATCTAACCCAAAAACCTCTTTTATGGATATTGGTCGCGAAATCCTGCGTGTTAAACTGACTCTGACACTTAAGCGGTTGTGCTTTCGCTAAGTTGTCCCCACCTGAAGAAGGACGCTTGTGTTATGCTCGAAACGTCGTGATTTAATTTATTTTTAATTTTTTACC